AGAATAACTAGTATTCTAACTAAAACACCATGATTCACACCAAACCTGTTTATAGCATAATGTGTATCACAAACAGACATCATTTAAAGTACAAAAATTAACGGCCAGATGGAGCAGATTGAGAAGGTTCTTAAATGTTGAACACTTCTGTTTGAAAAAAAAATCATGAATTTTGCATTCGATTCCATTTACCTGCAAGAAAATGCTGAATATTCCCTGAGGAAATATGTTGGAACCGGTTTGCATTCAATGAGAATCACATTAAGTTGATCCACATTTAATCTGTTCCTTGTCAGCATCTGCTCTGTTCAGCCACAGTTTCTTATCTGCTTGGGCCATTTCACATGCCTTTCTCTGTGGGCCCTGGAGTCTGATAGGTCTTGTTTAAAATCCCAGCCCCACCACTTACCTGCTATAGAGTCTTGGGGAAATTTCTCTCTAAGCCTCTCGATGTCCTCCTCTGTAAATGGGGAAAATGATAAACATGGATCATGGGGAGTTGTGAGGATTCAGTGTGGTGATATCTGTCAAGGGCTCAGGGCAGTAGCTGACACATAGTAGGTGTGGTCCAGGATTGCTCTCCTTGTAACTCTTGGATTATCAAGTTCTGCCCCTGCTGGTCCTCCTACCTGGAGCACTGGCTCCCCAGGGAAGAGGCCCCCACAAAACCCTCCTCACCTCCATTTCCACAGACTCCCTCCTTCCTGGTCCTGATTGTCTTGTGGAGGCTGCAGTTCCTTCTCTCTTGTCCTGCAAGCTCCTGAGAGCACAAACTTTGCATTTGTGGAAATCTAGAGCATTCGACCCACTGTCTAGCATGTCCAGGGAGCTGAGCACCTGCTTAATTGACCAAGCTGGACTTGACATTCAGATGAGAGACACTAGAAAAAGGGAAGCGATTTCTGGCCCAGGAACTCCTCCTGATGAAGCGTTGGTGGAATGGAAGCTCCTATTCCCCAAATACCCAGAGGAGAGTAGAGTTGAAGGGAGAACCCACTGAACGTGCCCATCAGTGCCAGGAGCACTTGCCATCAAGCACCTACTCATTCGTTCCAACCCTAGGCACCTAACACTGCTTGTGCAACCAAGACAAGCACGCTCGGTGTGCAAAGAGTTTGTGTGGCTGCTGCGTGAAGTGGAAGGGTTTGCCTTTCGACAGATGAGATAAGACAGGTGGGTGGGGCTCGACATTACAGTGTCCTGGAGGTCTTGCTAAGGAGCTTGGTTTTATCCTAAGAGCAGAGAAAGACAGGGAGTGGAAGCAAGGGAGTGATGTGACCAGCTTTCTAGTAATTCTGGCAGCTGTTTAGAGAGTGGATTGGGGTGGGGCCAGCCTGGCAGCAGGGAGCCTGGTTAGGAAGCTGTTTCAGTGATTCAGGTAAGAGATGGTGGTGGGCTGGGCTGGGGGAGAGGAGGAGAGGGAACAGCGAATACCAGTTCTGTACTTTCCAAGTGTCTTTAACCTGTGAAGTAGGTCAATTCAGCACTGCTTTGATTTACAGATCACAGCAAGAGAAAGGGCAGTGACACAGTGGTCCCTGAGTATGACTTTCTCATCTCATCTATACCTCCCCCTAAAAAAGGCTGCATGACCTTGGGTGTTAAGTGAATGGTGTCAAGGACAGTCATGTCTGTGTGGGCCCCTCTTGTCAGAGTGCATTCTCTCATTGAGGAGCTCTTGTCTTCACAAAGGTCTGGAACTAAGTAGGGCATGGACTAGTGTCCCCATTTTTGCCCTCATTTTCTTATACCCAAGGGCTTCCCCTCTCCCCATCATGTGGTTGTCTCCCTGCCTGGGATCTCCACCATTATCTGCTCAGACATTTGCTTCCCCCAACGGACTAGGAGGTGAAGCTGCAGCCTAGTCCTCTCCAACTCCTCTGGGCATATAAATGCCTGCTGTTGTTTTATAGAATCATCGATTCTAGGATTGGAAGGGAACTTAGAGTCTGCTGGTTAAGTGTTCTTCCAAGTGCAGTAGTTCCCTCTGATATCCACACATCTGCAGTGCATTGAGCACACTCTTCCCCCAAGAGGCAGTCCTGGCATCTCAGGTGGATCACCTTCGTGACTCCTTTCTCTGACTCTCCACAGCCACTGATATTTCTGTGAAGCCAGCATTTCATTCTGTCTGACCTTACAGTTTACCTGTCTGTTTTGCTCACTCAACTGTGAGGCCTTTGAGGACTAAGATGCATGTGTTTTATTCATCTCAACATTCCCCATAGCCTTGTACACAGTGTCTGGCATAGAGTAGGTACTTGATAACAAGTAAATGACTGAATGAATGGACAAATGAGTAAATGAATGAGTGAGTGAGTGGTTAGCTTTCAGTGTTAGAAAGTTCTTCTTTACCCTCAGCTGAAACAGGTTTCCTGCTAACCACCACTTTCTGAGCTGAAGTTCATGCCACACAGGATCACACTTTCCTCTTCCCCATGGTGGCTTCTCACCTGGTGGAACCACAGCAACCTGCTTATGTTCTTCAAACATACCAACCTGTTCCTGATAAGCTTTTTCCCACTTTAAGCATTTTATACATCTGCCCTTTCTGCCTAGGACACTTGACTCTCATTTCTTTAATGGCCTTCTTGTCATTTGGGTCTTAGCTCAAATATCACCTCCTCAAAAAGACCATTTCTAACCACTCAATCTAGAGTAACTCCCTTTGCCCCTTCACCTCTTTATCTCTCTGTGCTGAATTTGGGGTGATTTCCTCTGATTCATCTTCCAGTTCACTAAATCTCTCTTCATCTGTGTCTGTCTAACCTGCTGATTGAGGTCTCATATCAGTTACTCTACTTTCATTCATAGAATGTATATGTGAATATTGTAAGCATTCTTATTTTAAAATCCTTTTTAGAATCTCTGTGTAATGCCCCAATAGAGATTTCTCCAATTTATTGTATCTGATCATCTCTCAGGAGTTGAGTATTTTTGTAATTGTTGTAATTTTTAAGATGTAACTTTGTCAGGAATTATCATCTATGAGTGAGCCACATGTGTTACAGAGGTGACCTACCATGTTCATGAATCCTGGAAGAGTTGTTAATTTCTTTTTATTTATTTATTTAATTTTTGGCTGTGTTGAGTCTTCGTTGCTGTGCATGGGCTTTCTCTAGTTGCAGTGAGCAGGGCTACTCTTTGTTGTGGTGCGTGGGCTTCTCACTGCGGTGGCTTCTCTTGTTGTGGAGCACAGGCTCTAGGTGCATGAGCTTCAGTAGTTGTGGCACGCAGGCTCAGTAGTTGTGGCTCATGGGCTCTAGGGTGCAGGCTCATTAGTTGTGGCACACGGGCTTTGTTGCTCTGTGGCATGTGGGATCTTCGGGGACCAGGGCTCAAACCCATGTCCCCTGCACTGGCAGGCGGATTCTTAACCACTGAGCCACCGAGGAAGCCCTACATTAATTTCTCGATGAATGCAAGATCAGTGCAAGAATTTGGGCACCAACCTTGTGCATGATGTAGGCAAGAGACGATGATTTCTTGTGTTTGGTCTCCCTCACCTGATTCCAGCGACATTAACTTTACATGTCTGCTTTGTCCTCAGACTGGAGCATCACCCAGTTCAGTGATACCCAGATGCCAGGTTCTTAATGCATGTACTTACTGTATAAAAACCACCCAGCTAAATGCATGAGCATGGGACTCAGTGAAAACACAGATTTCTGAGATTCATTTCCTGGGTACTGATTACATAAGTCTGGGCTTGAGCCTGGGAATATGAATTTTTATACAGCTTTCCATATGATTCTGAGGTATAGTGATGTTTCGGTACCAGTGGTCCTATAAGCTTTAAGGATTGTACTTGGATTTATTTTTGTCTTGTTTATTTCCTTTAAATAAAAGGATTGAAAGCAGCTTACAAGATATATGTAAATACATTTTGAAAAGCAGACTTAAAAACCACCTACACAAATAAATAACCTAAGCAAGTGAGATCTGACTTTACCCCAAGACTGGAGACACACAGGGTAACGCTGTGGTTGGCGTCCTCACCAACATCCTCATCTTGGATGTGGCTGTGAGCGAGGTGTGAGCCATTATTATCCATCTCTAGAGACCCTCAACATTAAAAGCCCAACTCAGTGAAATCAATTATGGAAGTAACAGTAGAACTGCAAAGGGATGCTGCTCTTTGATAGGGTTTTAATGTTTCTGGGGTCCCCTTCTGCAAACTGTCAGATTGCTCAAATACACCTATTGGTCTGGCAACACCCAAGAAGACTCCTCCTGGCAAACTGATCTGCCTTGCTGAGTCCTCCCAGCCCATGTTCACCCAGAAGCCAAGACACCTCTTGGCTTCTGCCCAAACTGTTTCCTCTGCCCACAGGCAGTCCTCCTCCACCTTCTTCATTTCCTTCCTTCCTTTTGTCCTTCATTAATTAAGCCCTTATCATGTCCCAGCACTACACCGGAGCCCCCCAACTTCCCTCCATCCCAGTGTCTGCCACACTGCAGACCTTCCCAGCCTCATCTCCTGTGATGCTTCCCCTCACTTCCGTGGTCTGTCCACGCTGGCTTCCTGTGCTCCCTTCCTCTCTCTGCAGGACCTTTGCACAGGCTGTGTCAGTCTTCTGCCTGGAATGCTCCTCTCCCCTCACATTCCTGCTGTCCCCCACCTAAATTGTTCCTTCCTGGCACCCTGCAGTTGTCTTACTCTGCCCTCCTTCACATCTGGGACATAACATTTCCTTTGTGATTCCTAGGTTGCCCTCTGTCTCCTTGACCACAAGAGAGCAAGCACTGTAACCTCAATGCCTAGCACCGAGCCTGACATACAGCAGGTGCCTGATAACTTTGTTAAATGGGTGAAAGAAGACAGCCTTGAGAACCTCAATCTCTCTTCCTTTGGATCAGTCGTTCTTAAACTTCTTTTGGCCATTGGCCCCTTTGAGAGTCTCACGAAACCTAGAAACCCTCTCTGTACAGATATACATAAATACTTCTTCACATAAAACTCCCATATTGTTTCAAGGTTCAAAAACACCCCAGATAAAGTGCTTGCTTCGGCAGTACATATACTAAAATTGGAACAATACAGATTAGATTAGCATGGCCCCTGCACAGAGATGACATGCAAATTAATGAAGTGTTCCATATTTCTGTTTGGGATTAGCAGAAACAAACTATTATATATAGGATGGATAAACAACAAGGCCCTACTGTATAGCACAGGAAACTATATTCAGTATCCTGTGATAAGCCATAATGGAAAAGAATATGAAAATGAATATATATGTATAACTGAATCACTTTGCTGTACGGCAGAAATTAACACCACATTGTAAAGCAACTATACTTCAATAAAATATTTTTAAAATTCCAGATAAAGAGAGCATTGTTTATTAATTCCAAGCTAAGGTACTTTTCTAGAGAGAGCAGCTTATGAATTGTATACACATATCATGATTTAAACCCAATACAACTTGAGATGAATGTGAGACTCCCAGCATCTTAAAAGCTTATGTGTTCAGATGGCTTCATGTAGATACCATGCTGGTTGGTGTGTTCCCTTTAAGAACTCATCTCCCTGGGTTTTTTTTGTTGTTGTTGTTGTTGTTGCAGGAAAGAAGACAGCACAGAGGCAAGCACACCAAACTGGAAAATATTTACATCCCTCCCAACTGACTAGCGGAGCCGAGGTGGCCCCATGATTTGCGATCCCTTCCAGGGAGCTGAGCTACAAGCCAAACGACCATCTTCCTATTTCAAGTCACTCTTGACAACGTCTCTTCTCTGTATAATACCAACCAGGGAACCAAAGAGATGGCTGTTAACTGTCAGAAGCCCGTACGTATTGGCACAGAGTGGTGGAAGGAGCCGGGGGCTGGAGTCCCAAGGTCCTGGCTGGCTCAGCCACTCCTAAGCTTTGTTCCTGCACGGATTACTAACCTTCTTAGAATTTCCACTTCTTCATCGGTGTGAGGGGCCTAAAGCCTACTTGAGAGTTTTGTTCCGACAACCTAATGAGCTCATGGCTGCGAAAGTGCCCTGAACACTAAGGTGCTTCCCATGTGTCAGGGATCATTGCTGTTGGTAAAGTGAGATTCCATCCTCTCTCACTCATGCACTGACGTCTGCTCAGGAGGGCTGTCTGCCCTAAGTACTCATCACAGTTCTACGCAGCTGCCACCCAAGATGGGTGATGTGAGGCCTGGCAGCATGATGGTTTAAGAGACATCTGAGTAGTCATCTTGCTATTCTAGAGCTCCTGCTGGGCTAGCCTGTGCAAAACATTGTATGTGTGTGAGCACTTTCCTAGGGAGAGAGGCCATGGATTTCACTAGATTCTCAAATGAGACTGGGACCCCCAAGCATCAAGCACTGCTAGTCTAGGGGGGAAGGACTCTTATTAAGGAACCTGGAGACCCAGCTTTGCCTCTAACTGGCCAGTGACTTTGAGGCCATCCCTTGGCATCTCTGGGCCTCAGTTCCTCATCTGTGAAATGGGTGTGACCGCGTGCCCTCCAGCATCCCTCCCTGCTTGGACCTCTGATGAGTCTGTAGCCCCTTCGTGCATTGAGTCCTCCGTCAGAGGAGGCTCGTCCCGCTGCAGCAAACATCATCTGGGTCCTTTCTGTGGGGTAGCCTCTGGTCAGCTGGGAAGGTCCCGAACCCAGCCTCCTTGCTTCCAGAATAAGCGGAGATTTCTTCTTTCCTAAACATAAGTCACTTCAGGCCACTGTGTCCATGAATTTCCCACCCCCCACAAATAACCAAAGCACCCCAAAGTGCCCGAAGTACTGCAGCCCCGTTTCTGCTCGTCTGGCCCAGCAGTTAAAGAGCATTGTGGCCCAGTGGCTGTGCTCAGACCGAGAGGGTTCGCCCCTTCTTAAAGACTTCCCTGTAAACTGCAGGGCTGTGAGGCCACCTCATTCAGCAGCCAAGGGGCTAACAGGGACAGCTGAAACCTTAGCACCCCGAGAAAGGCCGAATGAAAAGCAGGCTGTGCATGGCGCAACCTGATTGGCTGAGTTCTTTCCTGAGGCAGAGGTTGATGGCAGGAAGGCAGCTGGTGGGGGTGGGGTCTGCCCTCACGTCTGGGACCTCAGCAGAACCAGGGCTGGGCTCACACAGGTCCCACGACCCATAGGACAGACCTCAGAGAGTTCCTAGTCTGTAGTCCTCAGGCCAGATCTGGCTCACAGACATGTCTTGTTTAGCTTATGTTTTTTGTTTTGTTTTTTAATTGAGGTTAAAACATGTGTAGCATCAAATTTACCGTCTTAACCATTTTTAAATGCCCAGTTCGCTGGCATTAAATGCATTCACGTCATTGTGCAACGATCACCACCATCCGTCTCCAGAAGATTTCCATCTCCCCAGTTTGAAACTCTGTCCCCATTAAACACTGATCCCCTATTTTCCCCTTCCCCAACCCCTAGCAAGCTCCCTTCTACTTTCCGTCTCTATGAGTTTGTTGACTCCAGGGACCTCATATAAGTGGAATCACACAGAATTTTTTCTTCTGGGGCTGATTTATTTCACTCAGTGTAATGTCCTCAGGTTTCATCCATGTGGTAGCATGTGTCAGAATTTCCTTCCTTTTCAAGGCTAAGTAATACTCCATTGTGTGGGTAGATCACATTTTGCTTATCCATCTACCTGTCGATGGACAATTGGGTTGCTTCCCTCTCTTGGCTATTGTGAATAATGCCATGAACATGGGGGTACAAATACCTATGTTGTATTTGTTAATATTGGAATTAGCAAATAACATGTAAAAGCCAAGAGATTTCTCATTAATATCTGGATTTCTGGCTTCTTTTGGAAAAATAGTGAATCTGGCAACTCAGGGCTTCTAGCTTCCTGGCCACACTCAGAGCTGAATGAGGCCAGCCACTCCCTCCCCTACCGACAGGCACACAGCCTGGGGTGCCTCAGGCCCCCAATCCCTCCTGGTCTCCTCCTCGCTCCCCACCTCACCTGCCTGGTCTGCCCAGCACCCTCCGGTTATGGGTAGAAACAGAGACCAGAGAGGCACAGTGAGCTGTGCCCAAGGTCTCATGGGCGGGATTGTGATGTGACTGCTGTCATCCAGGAAGGCTTGGACTGGAGTCTGGTTCCAGCTCTGCCACTTGCCTGCCCCTGTGACCTTGACCTTTCTGAGCCTAAGATTCCTCTTTCGGAGGGAAATGGGAGAGACGGAACCTTCTCCGACATCCTTACGGAATCGTTGAGACAGAAAGAAGGGGATGCATGGTGACTGGAATGTGGGGTTGGGATATGAGGGGCTTATTAACAGCACAGATGGGGCAGGCAGCTTAGGGTTCGGGGGTCTGTTTCTTCATCTGCAAAATGGGAAAAGGGACCATGCCTCCCCTACGGGCTTATTCTGAGGAGTCACTGAGACAGGGAAGCTTAGAGCCCCAGCAGAGGGCTTGGCACACAGCAGGTGCTTCACACGGGTTACTTTGGAACAGGTGAAGGCTGCGTTCAAGGGCTCCAAATCCCCATGGCAGCAGAGCAACACCCAGCAAGAGATGTGATGTCCTGGTGTCACCGGTACAGCCTGGCTGCCGAGTGCTTCAGCCTGATTTCAGAGCCTACCCTCTGCCTTTTACCTTCTGGGGGCCCTGGCAGGTAAGCCGCCTCTCTGAGCTGCAGACCCCCAGCACAAGGTGGGTGAGAAACGTAAGGTGCCTGGCACAGAGTCGATGCTCAATAGAGTTTAGTTTCCCTCCTTCCCTTCCCAAGCAGAAGTCTCTCTCAGGTGAAAAGTATGGCATGTTTTCCGAATATTTCCAAAAAAAAAAAAGAGGAAAAAGTGTAGTTTCTAGCCTCCCACTGGAGCTCTCCCGGGTTCGTGTGTTCTTGGGGTTGAGGTGTGTCGCTCACTGGGGTTCCTTCCTTCATCCAACCAGCATAAGTGCCAGGGACCGCTACAGACCTGGAGTTACAGCAGGGAACAAACAGACCAAATTCCTGTTCCCGTGGGCAGGTTTTATATCAGTCAATAGGTTAGTCGGCCGATCATCGCTCATGAAGTGCTTCTTCTGAGCTGGCTTTACGAGGGGCCCTGGCTTCACCCTCAAGGCTCATCTCTGCTGCTGCATGTGCTTTGCCCCAGAAGGCATGCTTGTCCTGAGCCCCTACTGTCACCCACTACTGGGTCTTTCTACCCACCGTGCTGTTTCTGTTACCTCGGTCCATCTCAGAGTCCCTGCCAGGGGCCTCTGAGTCACTTCAGGGCCAGTGAGACCCTCCTGAGGGGAGCCGTCCGTCCCACTGTACCCGGGAAACCTAAGAGGCCAGGTGTGGCCCCGGCAGAGCCTCACCTCTTTACCTTTAGGCTTTGGATGGGTGAAACGGGAAGGTGGATGGAAAAAGCCCTTGGTCAGCTCTTAAGTTCTGCATAAATATATAGGATTTGACCTTCACGTGATGGAGAGATGAGAGACTACCTGGTGTAGGAGAGAGATTAGGGTTTAAAACAGAATCACTGGTCTGGAGTCTGGGTTCTGCAACCTGTTAGCTCTGAGATCATGGGAACTTCACTTCCCCTCCTCAGTTTACTCACTTGGCAAATGGAGCAATAAAATACCTGCCTTAGCACCTGCTGGGAGCGTTAATAGATACACTGCATTATGGGAAAGCACTTTGCAGACTTCAGTGTGGTGCATACACTTTCATGTCATTAATTCACATCATTAGTTAAATGCACACCCATTATGTACCTACTGTGTGCTATCATGAACAAGGTGGTCTGTCTTATGACAGTTCGGAAGAGGTAACCAGGCTAAGGAAGAAGAGAATTGCTTGTCAGATGGTTGTACTGCACATTCATAGATCGTGATTAGCAACAGCCAGCGAGTTGGCATGGCAACCTTTCCCCATGAACTGCTAGGCAGTGTACTTAAAATAGGTTCACTAGAGGTGTGGCAGAAGCGAAGACACACAGAGTCCACGTGGTCTGATGGCTCTGCCCTTCCCAGGCAGGCCAGTAGTGCAGTAATTAAAATAACAGATCTGGAAGCGTCCATTTTTAGAGCTAGAGACTTTAGCAGTAGCACCTTGCCTTTTCCCATTTGATAGGTGAGGAAACTGAAGCCCAGAGAGGTTAAGTGAACACCCATAGTCACACAGCCTCTTGATGGCATATGG